AAACAGTGCCACTCTGGGCTGGAGTTGTGTTGATTTGATTTTAAGCATCTTGAAGCACTATCTACATGGAGCAGGCCACACTCAGACTGATGAATCGGCGCCAGCAACTTTCTGTCTTTCCCTGTTCCGCGTAATCAGTCTGGAAGTGGTCTGTCTGCTTTATCTCTGTGGCATCTACGACAGCAGTCGCTCAGGAGGACATCTTCCAAAGGTGCACTTCAACCTGTCACTCACAGGTGTGTTTGGGAGAGTGTTGGATGTTTATACGTGGCTAGAATATTGCACTGTGAGGAAACTGTAGTCATACAGTAGCTTTCTAAAGAGTGGCTAAGCAATAGCATTTATCACACGTCTGTGTGACTCTTCACAGGAACCTAACAGTGTGATAGGAACTCATTAATAGGCTTATTTTTGCTGCCATCTTCTGCTTTTTTCTGCAAGCTTTGCCTGTATTTTGCAAACTTTGCTTGCTCCCAGAATCCCAAATAGGAATTAGCAAACTTCATTAACATGACAAACATTGATTATCATTTGGAAGATATTGTCATACATTCCAGTGCTGTTGTGAGCATTAGGCATGATTGTAAGGTACTTTTTTTTAAAACTAAAAAACATTTTTAGCCAACCTTTTACATGTAGTACACATTCATGAAGCTGTTATAATGGATTCTATAACAAATGGAGTTTTGGTATGTTTATAATTTGGTTGTTACGGTCACCAATGACTTATTTCTGAGCCCAACTTTCTTATTTTGCAGTATGACATCCTTCTGTTTAGTTGTTTTCTGCTCTCTGTTCTGTTTGTGACGGATGCAGAGGTTTATGAGCACAATTAAAAATATAACTTCTAATTATCATAACTAGAGATGCATCAATCAGATGTTTTCTGACCATTAGTGGTTTTCTTTGAGGTCTGACCTGCTGTTTTCTTAAGGAGTATAACTTGGATTCTGAAAGACACGAGAGTTTTAAAGTCAAATTGTCACTAACCTCCATCTGATTTTTATTCAGCTAAAAGAATGAAGTCCAGGCGGCTGAGTTCTTAGTTCAGTTGAATTCGAACAGATTTTTTTTTTTTACGTCGACGACGCGCGTAAGCCGATCAAGGGAAAATTGTACAATTCCAAACACGCGCCAATAGATTGGTGCATCTCTAATCAATAACATCTGGTCTCACTTCAATCTAATCACGCATAGACACTTGATTATGATCCTTTTACAATAATATCAGCGGAGAATGAAAGCTGAACAAATAACAGTGGTGTTTCTTATTTAGGGCTTCTGTTTTCTTGCTGTTTTTAATCCCACCAATTACCTTGTTGATGCTCACAATGGACATTTCACCAGTGGAACCTGAAGGTGAAAATTGCCTTCGGCGTTGATACGTGTGTCTGTGTGTGATGACCTTGAAGTGACCTCTGCCTGTTGATGGTTTGCAGGCTGAACTTTAGCCAGTTGTGTCTCTGTATAGTTTAATGCCAATCATCCAGAACACTCCCTGGGGTTTTCATGTACCTTTCTTGAACTGGTTAAGCTGCTTTGGATCATGGTTTTAAATGTAAAAGAAGGGTGGGGGAAGGACAGCTCTATTTTTAATGAGCTCTTAGATTCAATAAAAAAATCCAAGAACTTTTTTCACTAATCAGTGTTTGTTTGTTCTTACACACACAAAGCGGAACTGTGAAATCCAGCACAGTAGACACAACCCTACTGGCCCTACTTCATACAACAAGTAAGCCCAAAATTACTGACATCTTTAGCACATTAAGGTTTAAATATCAATAAGTAATATTTATATTTCCGAGTTCCAGTCTGTTAAAGATCAGATGGATGTCAAGAAGGCCTTCTGATCTCAAATACTTGGAGCTCATCACCAATCAAAAATCTTCAAAATGTCATTTTGAATATTCAGTAAGCTGCTCTGGACTCCTGTGACCCCAATAAACATCTTTCTACTGAGATTATCTTTAATGTCTGGAAATATCTAAATGAAAAAAGAAAATGGACGTTTCAATAAAAAGGCACACAAACAATGTGTGCCTAAAGGATGCTTCCGTAAATATTTAACTTTTTTTTTTGATAATGCCTTATAGAAGAATAATAGCTCATACGTTTTTCAGTTTAATTTATTCATAAAGTTTTAATTCATAAGGGTAATCTCAAGTCACTGTACAGGACAAAATGAGTCCAGTTCATATCATAGTATTATGTTACAGTCAAAACCTCCAATGTGTATTATCTAAATGTTATATGAAAGATAATTACAAAGTAGGTCATGATTGTGAAATGGCAGGAAAATGAAACATAATTTTACATTTTATTACTAATAGAATAATTACATACATACCTGCCACAGTCTAAAAAGTGTGGCATGTATGTGTGTATGTTGAGTCTCACAGTCAGTGTGTCACAAAACAAAATTTTTCTGAAATTATCACTCCAGACATCTACCATTCTTGGAAGATCTTCAAGCTGAAAATGTTTGTATTTCCAAACTAACTAAAAAAAAAAAAACGCATGTATGGAAAAATCTAACTTCAAATCTTACCAAGTGTATTTCATGATTTTGTGAGACAAATCCTCAGATTTGTGTTAAATAAGCTGTTACTGATAATCTTGAAAGTAGTACACCATTTTGTTTATCGTAAGTGTGATTTAAAATATATCATTTTAAAGGTATTAAAAGTTTGAAAGAAAAATCTTTGGATGGGGTTCCATGTAACATCTGGGTCGCTCAGATTGGGGTTAGAGCCGTCTCTTGGACCCTAATAAGCTTGTTAGAGCTCCAGCTTGTTACCAGCCCTTTGGAGCGGCCTGGGCTTCTCTAAGCCTCTGCCAAGCACTCAGAAAATTAAAAGAACTGATCCGAACGAACGAGGGGAGCAAAGCTTATTCCGGCAGCAGCTCCCTCAGCTCATAATGTCATTAAGAAGATGGCTGGTGAAGCTGTGGTCAAGCTTTCAGAGAGCTGCACTATGACTGGTGCCTGAAGCAAGTCTGATGCAGTATGAATGGAACCTCTTGGACTGTTAATGTAAAAAAAAAAAAGTCCTAAATGGGAAGAAGAAACAATAAAAATGTGCATAATAACAGTGATATATCGTCTAAAGAAAAAGATGATCACGTAATATAAACAAACCCTTTGCATACAGGTCAAGACAGCCCAAGATTCTTGTTTAACCAGAATGAAAAAAAAAACAGAAGCTCAAATCCTCTCACAAAAACTGAGAACCCTGACTATAACACATTTGCTGCTGTGTAAAGTGCTAACACTCCATGACTCAGTGCTGACTGGGCAACTTTTCCAGAACCTCTGTGTCAATGACGGAAACAGGGAATTAGTCTGCCTTAAAATAAAGTGCTTTTTTAAATACTCTGCTATTTTATTTGGAAGCTACTCACTGAAGTCACTTCGTAATAAGGATTTCAAATCAGCTGAATTCAACGTTTTAATTTAAACTGATCATGAAAGCTTTCACTGGATGCAACGAGCTGCATGGAAATCTGCCACTAGGGGGCAGGGTTGAATCAAATTTATTTGTGCTCTAACTTGAGGATTAAGAAATTTGCGGAGACTATATTGGTATTAATGGCACTGCCGTATGCTGTTTTATCTTTTGGTACTGTTTTTGACAGTTTCCCAACGCGATGACTGGAGCTTCTTCAGAGGAAACATTCACTGAACCAGATCTGAGTGTGGGAGATGAAACAGCAGGCCGGTGATTTATAGCAGCAAGCAAGTCCAGAATAATAGGAACCAAATATCACATGAAACTTTTCACATCATGGTATCCATTATAGTAGAATTCATTAAAAAGTGAAAATATAATCACAACATTTTTTGTTTGTTTTTAATTTTGTGCTATGGGCCTGAAATACCAGGATGGATGGATAGCAACAGATTATATTAAATTCTTAACATTGTGTGATACATAGAAATAAAAGTCACAGCTTTTGCGGTGGAATACCACTGTCTGAACTTTCTACGGGCGCATTGTTTGAGTTCAGCCCACTAATGCAGGTCTTCGTGTGAACAGGTGGGTTTATTGTTCAGCTGATGACTGGCGGAGTATAAGCTTTCAGCTCATGTTTGCCCTAGACCAGTGGTTCCCAAACTTTTTCTTCTGCGCCCCCTCAGTGGGTTCCAAACAGTTTTAGGGTTGGTAGATTTGCAGGTGAGGGAGACATTTTCCAGCGTAATAAGACTACTGTGACTGGGCAAAATTTTTCAAAATATTTATGGATCTGGATGTTAAACTGACAGACGGATTATAGCAGAAATAATTTATAAGGGCTCCACAACAGAACTCCATCTTGAAAAGCAACTTTTAAACTGAACTGGAATCTTAACTGAGCTCTGATTTCCCTACAACTTAATTACCTGTTCCAAATGAATGTAAGGGAATAAAGGGTTCCTAACCCCTTTACTTCAAATACAGTTTTGTTGTTACAAAAATCCACTGTGTTTACCATCCAAGACGTATTTAATCTGTTATCCCGCATATGTTTTTTTGTTGTGGACCGCAAAATTTCTGCTTGTTTGAGTTCAGTGGTGCTTTCAATGAAACCTAGTTCATCTAAACAACTTCAGCGATTTTCAGTTGAACATCTGTGTGGTGTTTGTTTTCCCCCATGTTTCAGACGGGCCGTGAACGCATCGCAGAGATAGCGCCACTGCTCCCCCTGCTCTGACTGTTCCAGTCCGTGTCCACCCCGAGGTGTGCTCACCCTCTCTCTCTCCGCTGAGCTGCACACGCCGGACTGGCTTTTAACAAGTTTTAAACTGGAACAAGCTTTGGGAGGCGACATTGCTGCGAGTTATTGAGTTTTGCTATGAATGGGATGAAACGAGGCGGAGGAGACGGCATTCCTGATTTTTTTCCCTTCTCCGAATAGCGACAGTAACTGACAGAAACCGCCGCCTGTCCGCCTTGTTGTCCCAGTGGAGCCTCTTCTTCTTTTTTTGTTTAGGGTGAAACTAAACTCGCTGTGAATGCGAGCCGTGGCGCGCTTTTCTTTTGCCCCCAGCCCGGAGACTTTCAGGGGAATATGCTCAGACACTTTGCGCCTGTCGTGTTTGGACTGCGCGGGGCTAAGCCGTGATGAGGAGGGAATTAAACAGCGGTGAAACGCCAGACGGAGACAGCGAAAGCTAAAGAGCTCATCATCCCACCAGCAGCGGACGGTGGTGAGCGACCGCAGCCCGGAGCGGACAATTCAAGGTACTCTGACCACATTTCTCAACACCAGCATCCTGCCGTGTGTTTGTCGTTCTTCTGTGTGATAAAATGATGGAGAACCAGAGAGGAATTAGCTAATAATACAGTGCACCACCACAGAAAAGATTAGGTAGGTATTTCTCTCTAAAATCTCGACTAGTCGTTCCAAACTAGTGCCACTTGCAGAGGCGGTCGATTCTTGATGGGTTAATTATGTCTTCGATCAGGTTTTTCGTAACCGATTCTGATTAGTTTTGATGCATTTAAAGAATGGGCGGGGGTTGTTAATGTTTTAATATTTGACCTGGGATAAAATCATGGGAAATCTGTGATCTCCCACCTAGGCTAGCATCTCAAATCAACACTGCGGGAGTTCAGTGTTTCTACCTGTACAGACTCATTCAGTAAATTCGAATATTATCGAAAAGCACATTGATTTCAGGAACGTTTAATGAGTGAAACACATTCATATAGATTAATTACACTCAGATAGATGTTTGATAGCCTTTTATGATTATGAATTTCTACTTACAGCTAATAAGACATAACATTTAAAATAATATTACATCAGACCAATTAAAAATTACAACCTTGTGCTTAATGAAAAGTATGTTTAATACCTGTTTAAAGGTTATTTTCAACATATAATTTTAATCTGACAAGACATCATCATTCTAATTTACTGAATATGACTGTATACCTATCTAGAAAAGCAGGAAATTTTCCAGTTTCCCAACCCTGGTCCTCAAGGCACACTGCCCCCCATGTTTTAGATGTTTTCCTGTTTTCAACTGATTAACATGTTGAACTGCAATCAGGATCAGGTGTGTTACAGCAGGGAAACATCTGAAACATGCAGGGCGGTGTCCATCAAGGACCAGTGTTGAGGAAACACGGGTGTGGAACTCGCTGTTGTGTGTTAATACAATACCAAGGAAAAAATACAAAGGTAAGGATCTTAAAGGAGCGAGGCTTTCTACTGAGAGATAATAGGCCATTTATGAGCTATTTGAAGGTCATCATTCAAGAAGATTTCCTTTTCAGTTAAAAGAAAAATGGTGGCTAATCTTTCCAGAAGTGAACCTCCTAGCAAATTCATCCCAAGATCAAAGTGTGTAATGCTCCTAGAAATGATAATAATAATAATAATAATAATAATAATAATAATAAACTCCTCAGACTTTTCATACCTCAGTTTGGATGTTGTCAAAATTCATGTTGGGACACTTGCAGGAAATCTGAAGGAGTTTGACTTATTACAGAGGGTTAAAAGAAAGCATGTCCCCTTAAGAGGAGCCATTTTCAGCTGTTCCTGTCAAATGCATTGAATCATACTACATACTAAGTTCTTCTATTTTAGTTTCATCTCTCTTTACTAGATAATGACAGATAATTTAACTGCAAAAAGGGTCAGGCCATTTGCACAGCATCCACTTATAAAACCTACAAAGGGTGTACGTTCTTTCCTCTGTAGCGGTAAATAAAAACATTGTTTGGATTAGCTGAGATTATTTGCCTCCCGAGAGCTGGGTCAGTCAGAAGTACCATCAGGCACTGATCTACCGGATCAGTTTGTTGTTCTGTTTAGAAATGATTGGATGTAAAGTGTTGGATTCCAGATGAGGTTTCAGCCACATGGGCGTGTCTGAAAACTCTTCTCTTGTTATCTGAGCCACATTTCCCATGGTCTTTTAAAACCTACACTCCCCATATTGGTTTACATTGTAACGATGCATGCATGGAAGGCTGAAATGCTTGTTTAACCACGGAGAATACACACACGCACAAGCTAGGTTTTAGGTCAATGAGTGTTTATACTCGGACTCAACCAAAAACACTGGGTCCAAAAAAACACTTCTTCTACTGTCATTTGTTTTACCGACTCTTAAGACAGAATGCTCCCAGTTTGACTGATTAACCAGCAGAGTTGTTGCAGGGTGGTCTAATGGTCCAGTCAAAGTCCAGTCCTCAACCTGGCAGGTGTTTTGAGGAGCTTTGGATAAACATGTCAGCACTTAGCCCCACCTTACCTACTGAGCATCAGTTGCTGTGTTTCCATTTCGAGTGTGTGCCAATCTTTGTCTATTTTCTGCCAATGTTAAGTGAATTCATTTTTGTCATTTCAATTTACGCAGTTTTATGGTTAATGGAAATGCAGCTGTTGAATGAATATATCAGGGGTGCACCGATTGCAGTTTTCTGGCCGATCACCGATCTTGAAAAACCCTAACTTGCCACTTCTGGGGTATTTTTTTGGCCAATACAGTTTTTTTTGTTGTTGTTTTCTGAAAAGTCCCTATAAATAGGGACTTAAGTTAAGTTGCAGCAGTGGGGTTGACTGATAACCGCGCAGGAGCAGACATGAACTGGTGGGCAGGTCTGTCGGTCAGCCCTCTCTCACGGCAGAGAGGAAGAGGACAGTGACTGATTCTCAGACCTTTGCAGAGGTAGATAAGATTGGTTTGTTGTGCATCGGCTGATCAGAGCCAATTTATCGGTTCACCCATAGAATGTTTACCTGTCTGTGAGTGAGATTAGGTGAATGTGGCTCAAAGTGCCTTCAGTGCAAAGTATGACAATAAAAGCTCTCTGCAGATTCTGTCCATTTACCGTTCAGAACTCAATGAAATTTCAACTGAATTTCTTTGACCAGCCATGAAATAGTTGTGGAAGAAACTCGTTTCTGAAGGCTGGATCACAAGTTGGAGTCCTGCAATTCTTCTAATGTCATAACTACGTGGTTTCCATCGGGGTCACAGTGGGAACCATGCACTTATTTCATCCATCCTCCTCTAGTCGCTCAGAATGACTAGTTGGTTATTGTATAGACTCGTCTCTGCACCTGGAAGCCTGACATTACAGGTTATCAGCTGTTCTTCCATCAGGGTCATAGGTCAGTTCTTGGTGGAACATCTGTCTGCATCAGGTTGTGTGTGTGCTTATCTGGGTTTGGAGAATCATCCCCAGCTCGCCTGCGTTTGTGCAACAGCCTCCACATTCCCAGCATGTTGTTGCTTGGTGTGCGTCTCTGATCCAGCACTCTGCTCTCCAGATGAAGAAATAATGCCGCTGTTTTCTGCTTTTATTCCTGCAACTTGTTCATTCATGATGCTCCGCAGTAAACATTTACGGATCTCTGCAGGAACACTGCGGATTAAAGTGAATAACAGTGCAGCGTGTGCGAACCTATTCTCTGAAATGTGATTCTTTGTAGCATCACTCAAAATCCGATAATCCTGTGTAATTTGACCATAGGGGCTTTGGAAATGCTGATTTTTCTGTTTTTACCTGATGGCAGATTTGTCTGTGGATTATTCCCTCTCTGTTCGCACTCAGCAGAATAATCATGTCATATAAATATGACAACTTTTATTTGTGGACGGGTAAAGTCGCAGCACAGTGCATGGAGCTGACACGGCGTCAGAAACATAATTGGCCTTCCTTGTTCTCGGATTATTCTGATTTCTGTCGGCTTGTTTATATCGGAGATAATCAAATGATACATCTTGAAGTTTTCCGTCTCTAGGTGTCACATCATAACTGCTTCGACATTTCAGTGTGTTTTGACATTGAAACTTGTGTTTTGAGACCTGCTGGAGAGGTGGGGTGCACCGAAACATCGGCCCCGATTTCCTTCATTGTGGGAGCTTGACGATTGGTTGATACTTACATAAGAAACTGATTTTATCAGATGTAATCAGCCACTGGCCCTTTTACTGAACTCAAAGTCAGTGTTGGTAACGTCTAGAGCTGAAAAAAATGTTAGTTCTCAGGGGTTTTTTGTTGTTTGCATTGAATAAAATAAAACCTAGTTTCCAGTACCAGTGAGAGCTGAACAGGGAGGAGCCGACAGATTTGGATCTCTGCTGCGTCTCTGGAGTTTAGTTTGCCTAAACTTTATATAGATTTTATTAAATCCAAGGTATTGCTTTTTTTCTCCCTACATTATACACATTTTTGGACTGTGGAAGGAATCCGGAGTACCAGGACAGAAAGCCACCCATGCATGGAAAGAACATGCAGAAAAACCACTGGCTAGAAATGCACTGATCTGATACCAATATCTGTGTCTGTCTCAATATTGAAAATTTTCAAATATCTGCTCCGGAGGTGGAAAAAAGCAGATGGGTGTGTCCCGACACCTGGCTGGGGTTTGAACATATTTTCTCCTAAGAAAGGCAAAACTTCACCGCCAGTTCCTCAGACGTCCAGGTCTCATTGTTTTGGGTTAACTGAGAGAATAAAATGAATCCTCTGCAGTACAACTTGCCTAATAACCACCCACAGTGTAAACAGAGCGCAGTTGATCATACAGTGTGATAGCTCACCTTGCCAGTCTAATTAATTCAGCATTCTGAATTTAAATCGGTGTGTGGATACACCGTCTGTGTGCAGCCTTCTGCTCTCGTCTGTGCATAAAACATTAGTACACTCAACAGTCTTTTTGTCTGCGTGCGTTTGCCAGTGACAAAGCCAGACACGACCTCTGACCCCTGCATCAGACACTGCCACATATATGTTGAGGTTAACCAGCCATTGTTGTGTCTGCCTGTGTGTCCCCTTCATCCCGCCCGACGGTTATCCTGCTGCTGCCGACTCCAGAAGCGCCTCGCTCCAGTCCCACTGCGGAGTCGCGGAGATGCCGCCGCGGCATTCCCAGAAGAGATTCCATTCCTCCGTAAACAATCCTGGCATTGACGCCGCCGCCGATTAGCTGGTTGCCAGGGTATTTCCACTCCGGCCTCAGATCAGATCTGAGAAACAGGAGTTCTGTTTCAGGGTCGGTCTGGCGGCGGCTTTGTGTGAAGTCACTCTGGCGGACGTCAAGGAAACCAACGCTGTTGATCGCTGAGCTTGCTGCGTTGCCAAGACGAGTGGAAATTGAACTGGAGGTTTTCACAAGGCCGTGGAACTTCTGGAAACTGTCAGCATGGAGTTTAAATATTCCTCCCTCATGTTTTCATTCAGCAGTTTTACAGCGGTTGAAAAGTGCGTGCGCTGCC